AGCTTTGTCAAGTCTAAACTAAAAACTAAAGGAACCTACCCTGACGATGTCATCTGGGTCTCAGGTTTGAGAGTTTAAATTTGTAAGAGAAAGCCAAAAAGTCAACACGCTGTTCGAAAGATTTGTCAAGCAAAGAGGGGTCTAATGAAAGACAGTGGCAAGTTGCATTGTGGGAGTTGCAGGATGCACCGTTTTCGGGACTTTGGACTAATACTAGGACTTTTACTACCTAAAAGTCGGGACATATTGACCTCCGCTGCTTCGATTATGTCCCTTCTTTTATTTTATTTTAGCAAGTCTCAACTTTTCAAAATGAGACACTAAATCTCTGGAGGAGCAATTTAACAGCATAAAAAATACATATAATACAAATATAAATTACTGGTTGATTGTCATATTCTATAATCAATTAAGAGAGGCACAGGCAGCAAAATCACAGAAACGTTCTTCAGAAAGGAGCCCCATGCGGACGCGTGATCTGATTAATCCATGAGACGTTTTAGCTTCCTCTACAGAGGCTTAATGCAGCTGCTCATAACCGACATTTTCTGTACCTGTACCTCTTTCTGGTTGAACACACCCTTACGTTTTTTGCCAAAATCATCTGCAGAAAAACCTACAAGTTCGCTGTCTTGCTCTCTTTTAATCACTGCGTTGTGCCAAAACTGGCTCAGCCAAACTGCTGTGGATGCCGACATTATTATGATATTTTGACATACTGTCATAGCAACAAAAGCTGACAAATGACTCACGAGTCTTCAGAAGCAGATCACTGGTGAGATTTGTGTCTTGGGAGTGGGAAATCTGTAGCAGACGCCCATGTGGTCAAACTTGAAAAATGTGACTTCATGAGGCCTTTTCCTGTTCACACTGATCAGCATTAAGACATTAACACAATATGAACACCTTTGAGCTGCTTCAACATGTGAAACTTTTAAAGGCCCTTAAAAGACTCCATCATTTAGCAATGGACTCCTGTAACACTGTCAGATTTGGGCTCTTTTTTTAAACTGGCACATTACCCACAATGCTGCTGACAGTTCGGTCGGAGATTCAGGTGTGTTATTCCCCTATCAAACTTGCAGTCTACGGACCCAACCAACGCTGACTCATGTGACATCACTTGAGGCAATTTATCAGACTTGACACAGCTCCCTTTGGAGCCACAAAAGGCCCCGGCCTTACCTCGACGCCAAGAGCAAAAACTTTTTCACCTGCAAAAACAGCCACAGTTCACACACAGTTCTACTTTAATCTGCTCCAGCTGGGTTTCATAGGAAATAAAGACAAAACATATATGTACGCAAACAGCACTTTGTGAATGTCAGGTCCACTGCGCTGGAGCAACTTCATCATCTACTGAATCCATGAGGACAATGTCTGCGATGTTACTAATGGAAAATGAATTTAAATTCAGTTTATAAATGGTCCTATTAAAGAAAAAAAACACCCTCTCAGGGGTCATTTCAGTGTCTCTCCATGGTTGATATCGATGTTTTATTTTAAAAGGTTATCAGCCTTTCAGTGTTGTTCACCTTTAACATGGCGTCTGTCCATAGTTACATCAAACAGTCCTGTTTTCTGTAAAAATGTAAAGCCTTACATATCTTAAAGTTCTCTGTGCTGCTGTGGCGGGCTTTAATTTACTGCAAAGCCTGGAAGGATTTCAGTAGTATTCAGTTTTAGAGTGAAAATACTGCGTCAGAGGCCCTTTCTGGGAGATCAGGGAAAGACTGAATCAATATACAACATACGTTTTTGGTATAAATATGGTCATATTTAAATTATCAAATATAAAAAATATGATCAGTTATCAGTGATTTCAAATAAAATCAGTCTCAGCACCCACATCAATCAGCCTAATTTCCGTTATGAGTTCATAAACTTCAGAGCTGAGGACAACAGGGTACGGAAGGCCACCGCTTGATTTTGGTCCACATTTACTGTAGAAAGCCGGTTTTACAACATGTGTGTTGGGTTTTACAGTCATGACTCGTGTCTGATGGTCACTGTCAGGTATTTCTGTTCACGACAGCGCTCCAAATCATCCAAAAAGTACTCCCCCTGTTTTAGCCCGGGGCTCCACTCTTAAGCCGTTGTGCAGTTAGTGTTTCAGCGTCAGTAGACGGCTCCCATGCTCTGTGTGGATGGCGCTGCTGTTGATGGAGTGTGGTGCGTCAGGCCAGACTGCGGCAGACCTAAATGTGCACCCTGCTGCTGGTACCAGTTCTGGTGGGTGTAATCTCCCATGAAGGCGGGCGAAGAATCAACTGGAGGCTGATAGGGACCCTGCCCCCTGCTGGTAGGATCTATCATTGCATTGCTCTTGATGCTGCTGCTGTTTGTGTTGTTGCTGCTGCTGCTGCTGTTGTTGTTGTTGTTACCGTTGCTGTTGGTGTTTTCCCACACAGCTGGGGAGGGAGGAGAGTTGCAGGCCATGGAATCGCTGGCGTCTGGACTGTGTTCAAGAGGAATATCCCCGAGAGGAAACTCTCCATTCTTGTAGAGCTTTTTGAACTTGGAGCGACGGTTCTGGAACCAAATTTTGACCTGGAAGGAGGAGCATCACATGTTGAGGCAACTTAAAGAAGTGAAAGAACTGAAAAATGTACTTCTGAATTTCCAATTACTCTTAACTACTTAGGTTGATGAGGTAAAAGTGAACCAAAACAGTAACATTGTGGGCCATAAAACCAAAACTATACGCTGAAAGACACTAAAATTCATAGTAATTTGCTCCATAGGACAGTTATCAGGCATTAAAGCCGCCGTATCTTTATTTACGTTTTTTTTTCTTAACCTTTATTTAACCAGGAAAGGTCCCATTGAGATTAAAATCTCTTTTTCAAGGGAGTCCTGGCAACTTTAACAACTTTAGCTTCTTTTTAGCCTCTACTAGCTTCTAAACTCCACTGTACGCTACCTGCCCAGCACAAAACAACAGAAAGGCAAAGTCAGTGACTGCATTAGCATTTAGCACCTAAGGAATCAGATATTTCCCTCCAAGCATGTTTAAAAGTTGGAGGGTCACCTCAACTCCAGCTCTGGTTTCGCTCTGGTGTTTGTGTGCCTACCTTTGGTACCACTGTATGTCCCACCAGGATCGGTCATTTCCCCGCTGCCAATTCATTGTTATAACACGTACAATCTGGCTGTTTATGTCAGGGTTTAAGCTAAAATAAAAATATAATGCAGCATTTTTCCTTCTTTTGTTTTGGACCAAGTGGTGAGTGATTTTAGCAGAGCGGGATGAAATCGGAGGCCCCAAGAGGCTTTGAACAGGGAAGCGGAGTAGAGTGTTTTTTGTGTTTTTTTCAGTAGTTTCTCGTTCGCACTTGGGAGGGGAGGGTGAAGTGACAGTTCACTGGCCATAACAACATTATAAGGTCGATGTTGCCTTTTTAGCTTGATCTTCTGCCACTAAGTAATGGCTTGCTCTATTGATATCTGCTAGCATGTACAATATTTATCCATTTTGTCAGCCAACTTGTTTTCAGTTCAGTTCTTAAATCTAATGTATTCCTCAAATGCATCGACTAAACAGTTGTTGTAAAATATAAATACATTTTAAAAAGGCAAAAATGTGACACAATAAATATTTACAACAGGCAAGTAGTAATTATTATTTAACTTCCATATAGCCACTATCTAAGAACTGTTACTGGCCAGTAGAGATGATATCAGAGATTATTTACAGCTCCTGTAATAATGTAATATTATAATACTATGAGAGCTAATGTAATGCTGTCATACAGCTTTAAATCCATGAGGGCATCAAACCAAATGTCACGACAATCACATGCTTGGAGCTGTGGTGGATTGTGCCTCATGCCTTTGTTTTCTTAAAGCTTGTGCATGTAACCCAAGCATAATATTGAACAATGATTTACAGCAGCCGTGATGAAACAACCCACGCCACAAGTTTAGTCTTTTATCGCTTGGGTGCAGATAATTAATGCTGTAGTAAGTCATTAGGGCAGGAGGAGTATGACTGCATAAACCAGACTAACACGACAGCAACAACACACACACACACACACACATCTACGATCACTGGCTACCATTCTCTATTTACATTCTATTGTATTCTTACTGTTAATTTGTTTGGTTACATGTTATCTTAGTAGTCTAGTAACGGTATTGTGTGCTATTGTTAGCAGAATTATAGTCTAAAAAATAGATTAATGTATTAATATTGATCTTGTGAATGATATTTTTAACTTCAACTCAAACCTATATCTTTAAATGTAACTTCAGCTATTTATCCACTGCATACTTACTGTCTGACAGCTCAATGATCTATGGAGTTAAACTTAAAATTAAAACATCAAATTCTTTCAGTGAATATGCTTTAGCTGACTCCAATTGGTTTTGGCTCTTTCACTTTAAAATATATTTCAAACCCTTTCAGTGCTTCAGTTTCAGCTGCTTTAAGTCATTCAATTTAACTTGCATTCAAACTCCAAGAGCTAATTTTCTTCAGAAAATGCAGCCTCATCTCATTTTTACTGCACTGTATCATATCTCTGTCACCACACCAAACTGCACTGTTCCTTTCCAGTCTCACCTGTGTCTGTGTGAGGCCCAGCTGTGCGGCCAGCTCGGCCCGTTCCGGCAGGGCCAGGTACTGTGCCGACTGGAATCTCCTCTGCAGGACCGCCAGCTGGTAGCTGGAGTAGATGGTCCGGGGCTTGCGCACCTTCTTGGGCTTCCCATTGACCATCCGAACCTCCACGTCTGGTTCCTCTTTCACTGCGGGAGGGAACAAAGCCATGTGATATTCATGTGGGGACCTTCTGAGTGCTTGTGGTACCTTACAGTCAAAACACCATGGTACTGTCACCTTCTTCTTGTCTGGACTTAAAATATACAACCTGTACAAGAAGTCTTTTTTTTCTGACAATGAGATGAATGTGTAGCAGGTCTCTACAGGGCAGTCTGTGCAGAGAAGTTGTAGCACAAAAATAGCCGCGGTAGCTACAACCCCGAAATTTCAAAGAAATTCCGCCAGCACTCTGAACTTATAATTTTGGTCTGAGTGTCTCCCACAGCCGGGGAGGGAGACAGAGATTTATAGGTGCTTTTCATGTAGCCTGGAGGCCCGCTTGTATACATCGCTCCCCATTGGGGTTGTTTTTTCTGTATCCCTGTTCTTTTCTTCTTCTTTTAAAAATACAACCAACCTACTTAAACACATTTGTTCACATTTGATCAACATACATATTATTACCTTAAGATGGGAAACAAAACTTCCTGTTTTCCAGGGTTGTATTGAATATGCCGCTTTGGTTAATATATGGTTTATATGCAGTTTGTATATGAAATGTTAATCAGTATTATAATATTTCATATATTTATGCATTTACACCTAATAACAAATTGTGTGTAATATCTTTAAATGTTTGTATTTATGTTATTTGCTGAACAGATTTAACTTAATATTTAAAGCTGCAATACCTAATACCTAAATAAAATAAAAAAACGAACCAAAACAATCAGAGCTGAGAAAGATATAAAGACACTTTGGGTTGGGGGGGTTGAAGATAGTTGATGGTTAAGTTTCATTCCCAGGGTCCTAAAATGTCTATATTGGATTCCCCTGGGAATGAGACTCAACCATCAACTCTCTCTCAGCTCTGATTGGTTGTTTTTATTCAGGCCCGGTGGATTCTTGCAAATACCATTAGGTATTAGGAGGAGCCAGAGGAACCTGATTGTTTCACAGATTATCTCATGTTCTACCATCAGGATATAGGGAAAGTTTCAGCAAATATGACAAACTGCTTTTTTTAAATAACCTACTGAAGCTATTAAAAAAAAATCATAATTCAACATTTCAAAATTGTTTGCAAGTATTTATTACTATTTAACATATATTTATTTATTTCGAAAAAGACTGGTGAATACACAATTTATAGAATATTTCAATATTTTGTTTTTACTGCATTAGTTTACACTCCCATTGAGGACACTGGTGTACTGCAATGTACTCAGTATTTTTTTAATGTTAGCAACCTGCAGGAGTTTCCTCTCTACAATTAAAAAATACACATAGTAGTTGTTTTAAAGGCTGATTCCTGTGTTTTTTTGGTCTCAATATATTTCAATTGGAATGCTTTTGGACCAACAGACATAAAGGAATCCGACTGCATTTGGATGTTGGAAAATAACATTTTCAGACAGTATAATTACTAATAACAATTAATCTCATAAATAAAGTCAGTTAAATGTAGTTGTTGTCCCTGTAGCTAATTTGAGTATTTTTTCATCTTTTCATCATTTTTTCACATTATTTAACCAGTTATCTTGTTTGAAACATTTATTGATTATTACATAGATTAAGAAATGTATTATTAGTTTCTTTTTTATGATCATTTAGTCATTTATATTGATCTATGAATTTATTTTGCCACCTGTTTGTGTGTTTATTTATTAGTGTGGGCGTGGCTGCGAGCCTTGCATGATAAGGAGTCGTCCTCGCTGGATGAATCAAAGGCCAAGGCTGACTGACATGTCGTGACACCTGATGTGCATGGCTGTGGGCCAAAGTCCCTTGGGGCCATTTCCAGGAGTCAACTCCCAATTGGAATGTCAAAAACAGTACACCAGTCTGTCGGGTTTGTTTTTCCCCTGTAGTTTGCACACAGGCGCCATCCAAGATCCAAAGAAAGAGCCAAAAGAAAAAGTTCTGAACACAGTGTGGCTGTAGGGGAACTTAAGTTAGAGCCAAAATGGTGTTTGTTGTTCCAAATGTTGTCTTTTATGTTCTTGTAATATCACTGCAGGATCTGAATCACAGTGACCTTACAGCCTCACTCTGATAGCTGATGTTTCCTGAAGGAAGCTTGGAATATTTTCACCCTGTTTACGGTGGCAGAGACTGTTTAGGTGATCTGTTTTCTAAAAATAAACCACTCGCATGTCAATAAATTAGTTCTTCATTCCTAACAGGTGAAGTTGGAAAGCCACAGGCTAGAACTAGGCTATGGCTGCCATCCAAAGGCTTTTACTTTCATTTTCTTCCAAATTAAAACCAAGGATAAGATAAGCTTTCAATTTATTAATAACAATGAAACAAAACGTTTTCAAAGACCTTTTCCTCCAAACGTGCCACTCTCCAGGCTGAACCTGCAATGATCTCTTGTTTCCTCTTCACCCACAGACACCTCCCCCTCTCCTCTACCTCCCTCTACTTAGAGTCAGTCCTTCTGGTGAGAGCTGATGGGTGCTTACACAAAATCCCATTCGAATTCATAAAGATTCAACAGCAATCTTAGTCACCCTGGCACGTAGAACCAGAAGCTTCTCTGCTGACAATAAACGAAACAGTGTGTTTATTTGTGAGTTCTTCCTTCAGCCAAATAAAATCAAGTTTAGCAAGAGGAACATGCTGTGAGAACCACATCTAACACCCAATATTTGCTCTCCGTGGAGCACAGAATCATCTTAGTTTGAAAAGCAATAAGTCATTAACCTTGAATACTGGTATTCCTGAGCAAAAACCCTTTGAAAATATGAATAAATGGCAGTAAATGCTACTTCTGCAGCTGCACACATGGTTGAATTATTCAATTATATCAAATATTGGTTTTAAAGCTGAAAAACTACTCATTTTTATAAAATATCTGAGACACAAATACATTTTTTATAAGAGTGTCTCAGTCAAGTCCCAAGTCTCCCCTACTGTGAGTGCACTGTAATTCTGACTCCCTAATCATCCTCTAATGATGGAGATTTAGAAGCCCAAGATTAAGAGAGCATCAGCCAAATGCTTCAAAATATGTATAAAGTGCAAAATAAAGAGAGTTTAGGGCGCAGTGGAAAATGGATAAATAAAAACAACTTATTTTTCCCTGTGCGTAAAACTCGTGCGCAATTACTGGGTTTATATGGCTAGACATGAGCACTTGCCATACACCAGCCTCTGGTGGTCAGAGTGGCTTTTCTTCGACAAAGGTGATGAGGATGTTTTACAGAGCTGTGTGAGCAGTATAGTAATATTATTATTATTATTTCTTCATTAAACTGATGCAGAATCAGTGATCAGTCAACTCCAGTGTGAAGGTTTTTGCGCATTAGTTGGAACTTACCACCGTCCTGCAGCGCTGACTGAACCTCCCTGCTGAACGCACCGTGCTCCCCTCTGTACGCCGCATGGGGGTACGGGTACTCTGCCTTGCCCACGGGGTAAGCACCGCCTGGGCCCATCCCGTTCAGGTTATAGTGGTGGTACGCGTACGGGTTCATGTGCTGGGCCGAGTACGGCTGCTGCGCCTGGTAGAAATCCTGCGAGCCGTGGAGCGCGCTCTGCCCGCTGTAGAAGCCCATGTCTGTGGATGAGGACTCCGGCAGGGTCGGGGAATCCTTGGCGGCCGAGATGGAGCTCCCGGCCACGGGGAGGGAAGGTTTCTTCTCCTCGAAGATAGGCGAGGATTGGCCGTTCATTCTCAGCGCTTTCCTTTCGCTCCAAACTGCGCAGCAGGAGTGTAGAGAGGTGCTCGCAGTCTGGAGCTGGCTGTTCCCAAACTCTCTTGACGCAGCCGGGCTGTCCACCGTGGCGGCGCCCAACCCAACTAGAGCTCGTAATTACAGGGCGCGCCGAGCTGAGCCGGGCCGGGCAGGACAGAGGGGAGTGGATGTCTCCTTCTCATTGGCTCGTCTGCTCGCTCCCTGCCTCTGCCTCGAGGCCAAGACAGCGCTGACTGTCGCCTGTCTGGCTCCCTTCTTCTCCCCACAAAAACCTCCAGTAAGCCTCTCCTCGGGCCTGTATGCAACCAGAGCGCATAAACAGTTGGCAAGCCCGTAAAAGTCCTCTAACTAACATTCACCTCGACATATCCTCTCGGAGACTTAACAACAGGCACGATTCAGCAGAGCAGATAGAGATTTAGCGAGCAGGCCGCGCATAATGGTGTTGTGATAAGGAGTGTTTACCTCCCATTCAGATGCAGATCCAGAGCCAAGCGCTGCTCAGGAGTTATTTACAGTTCATCAAGGCTTATTTAAAAAAAGGCTTTTCCTGCTTTACATGTGTTGACTTGAGCCCCGGGCTTCTCCCTTGCCTCGGGGAGGAGAAACAGCCACCATAAAAGTGCTATAAAGCCCAGGAGAGTACGGGCACATGATGGTGACACTACCTTGGAGTGGCTCACTGTAACAACAAATTAATCCATATAAAACGAGCTGCTAAAAACTCTGACTGCACCAAGTGTTTTATAAAATGTGTTTTCAATTTCAAATTGGAAAGATATAAACTTTACACACAAGTGAGATTTCATGTCACTGAAAAGTTAGTTCTAATTCAGGTGACATAATCTCACCACCAGATGTCACTACTGAGACTTTGAAATTAAAGTTGATTTTCAGGCAATGTTGGCAGCAAAATGAGATTACAGGAAACCCCTTTAACCAGCATGCATCACTCACTCATCCGAAACTAATTCAGCAAATATAATCGAGAGAAAAGTAAGACAAACACTGATTCAGAGTTAAAAACAATGTATGTTATGCATATTCTATGGAAGACTGTGCAAGATGTATTTGAGTTCTGAGTTTCACACGCAGCTCTAATCGTCTTCTGTAATTATCAAAGCAGTGGTTCAACCTTTTTTTGTCTGAAGTACACCTTCATCAACACCAGCCCACTGCTCACTACTTTTACAAACACATTTCAACCATGTAAACTTTCAAACTTAGCTATTGCTTGCTACCTAATTTTTTTGGAATGAGTTGTGCTACTGTATGATCTTTCAACAAACCTCCTGGTTGGGCTAATACAACGGAATAGAAGGGCAATGAGAGAAGTTTGAAGCGCACTGCTTCCAGGTAAAAGGTCGAAGAGCACAGAGAAGCTAATGGATCTAATGAAGGAAGCACCGGCAAACACATTTTCACTTCCACCATTCTAAAAATCACACAATTTACAGGTTTAATCTTTTTTTTTTATTAGCATTTGTCTTTCTCTATGTCATATATGGTAAACCCTCGAGTCCTTGCAAAATTAAGTTCCCAGAAATGTACAGCTTGATTTTCTTCAGCGAAACCCGCCCTTTCCTGCACGACCAACCGTCACATCTCAGAACGCAGAGTTCCCTCTCCAGTCACCTGTCGAGCATCAAAAGCACTTTGTGTGACTGACCGAGCTCTCGGTGGCGAGGTTTATTCAGTTCTTACGCATTATAAAAAAAAGGGGACAGTGTGAATACATCGGGCCTTGGAGGAACAGAGGCGCTTGGCAATGTTATATACAAACAGGAAGTACAAGTGCAGGGGCGGAGGAAGGGGGCTGAAGGAGACCCCCCTGTGTTGATGAATGTCCTCCTCTCCTTGTGGCATGGTCCCGAGTGGACAGAAGAGCAAATTCCCTGTATGGTCCACGAATCCCAGAATGCCTTGTGAGTGAGTGAGACCCCCTCGGGGTGAAACGGGTGAGGGTGCAAAGGTCGTGGTAAGGGTGTGAGGGGGGGAAGGGAGGGTGGTTGTTCTGACAGCCTCTGTTTTCAAAACCATTCTTCAGGCGAACTAGTTAACTGCGGGGCAACTTTTCAAAAATTCTTTCAAAAATCTAAAATTCTCCAACATTCAGTTTGGGGGCTGGTTGGCGAATTGAACAGTTACAGAACGGGTAGAATCCAGTGGGAGAGAGGACCGACCTACCCACGTTTACCCCCGGTTACACTCTGAGAACAGACCAAGCATGTTTTTTTTTTATATAATACATGTATTTATAAGTACTGTATATGTATTTTTTATTGTTATATTACAAGATTCCCTGATGGCCAGTGCAGAGAGAAACAGAGGGAAAAAAGTGTGTGGGGGGAGGGAGGCTTGTCCGATTTTACATACAGTAGAAACTTAGTGGTTGGAGAAGAGAAGAGGGGCACAGTGCCTGGATTTGTCCATAGGGAGGAGCACGTTGTGTCAGATCAACCCCAGTCAGATTGGAAGGAAGAGACAGTGGGGGGAGGGAGAGCAGAGGGCTGAGGGAGGACCAGGAGGAGCGGCGTGTCCACCCTGTCAGTCAGTTTGTTAATCTGTTGGGTCGTCTTCGGATGGTCAGCTGGTTTGTTTGCTTGCTGGGTTGTTAAGAGGGTTTGTGATCTCCTCGTCCTCCTCCCCTCGTCCCTCCCGGGTTGAAGTGATCAACGGAGGTCTGACTGGCCCGCGTCACTCCAGACAGGAGGACCGATGGTTTCGCTCTCTCTGCGGGGGGAGACAAAGGGGGGAGGAGAATGAACACTGAGATTTTACATATATTTTGGCAAACAAGCTTCTGGTTAACTTGAGCACACAGGATAAAGCTGGTGTTATATTTATATCTGGTATGAGAAACCCAAAGCCGGGTTTTAATGGGATAGTTAGACATTTTGAGAAATACACTCACTGATGACTGATCCAACTCTCTGCAGAGCTGCAGCCAGGCCAGCTGTTTCCCCTCATTTTCAGTCTGTTTCGCTAAGCAAAGCTGAGCTAAGTTAAGCGGCTCCACAGAGGTGATTGGATGTATACACACTGAGCTGGAGTGTTTATGGAGGCGGTCTATTATTATCAAACAGAGGACCAAGAGTCAGAAATGAGAGGACATTAAGTTGAATGAAAATGATATTTGTGGGATAATGAACAAATAATTCTGCTCTGATGTCACTAACGTTACCTTGCTAACTTTTAATTGAATTCCATGTTCCAGTTTCACCAATAATGTTCATTCAATGGAGGGCGATGGTAAAGATGGGAGCTTGGACTCTTTTTCTAACTTGAGTTGGTATGAGTCACTGACTACAGAGATTCGGGCTTTAAGTCACAGAGTCGGTCAGCCAGAGCTTGGTGAATCCCCCATCAGCCCCAGCGCCGATGGAGTAATAGAGTATGCACACCAGAGACTTCTGTTGGCCAAGCCAGCTAAATCCTAGGGTGCTGGTCCATAAATATAAAATACTGATCGTCTCCACCTACCGCACAACGCCTCTCTTATGCTTAACTGAAAATTTGCACAAAGGTTCTAAA